GGCGTAGCCTAATGCTGAAACTCGGGCAATCCTACTGGAGTCTTACAGGTGATTTCACTTTTACCTTATATTTTACCTCCTATGTACCCAAGACGTCTGTGGGTTTTGAGTGCTTTGGGTTGTGTTTTGAAATGAATGTGTCCATACACAAGGAGAGAGACATGCCTACAGGCACTTGAAAAGAGCTGGTCAGCACCTCCTCTCCAGAACTGCCTGAATGACCCCTGGAGACACGTGCACTTCTCCATTGGCTATGGAGGGAGCTTCACTGATGCACCCGAACCTTTAGTTGCCTGAAGGCAGGTCAGATGAACTCTGGCCCTCCACCTCATCCCCTGCTGGATGCTGACAGCATAAGTCTTCTCTGACACAGCTCAGTCAGCCTGTGTCTGTGCCCTGTGATACTGGTGAAGACTGAGGTATCTGTGTAGGTCTTCCTACGCCAGTGAGACAGTAGGAGCTATGACAACCCTTTCCCTGAGCTGCTCTGTCTCCTGTGTCTCAAGCCATAGTAAGGCTGGTAACAGCTCACACATCTGGATGCAGCGGTCTGTCTGATGGGAGATGAGCAGTGCACATCTGGTGCTTGGGAGCATGTGTGAGAGCGTAGCACCAGTCTGCTTCTGGTCTCTAGACCCATCACAGGAGTTTCCTAAAATGTGGGTCCCACCTTGTCCTGTGATCTTCATCTGCATAGGCGAACTGTGGTCTCTTCTCTTCTGTGATCAGATGCAGCTGCTTGGTGTGGGGAGGCTGCTGGAGGGTTTTTTTTGCACCTGTATTGTTGGAGTGAGAAGCTGATGTGTTCTGTGAGTGCTTCAGAGTGGAGTGGGGGAAGCGAGACCCAACAGGATGCATCTCATGCTCAGTTCTACAGCCCATTAGCCAAGCAATTCAGGCTCCCTCCAGTCCTGACAGCTAAGTGCCAGTCCTTTTCTGATGAATCAGAAGGATTAGTAAACAACTGAGCTGAGATACTGGTTTTTTATGCAGGGAGAAGGAGAAGTATGTGTGGATGTACCTATGTTAGTCCTCCTCTCACCTACTTGCTGCATAAGCATGAGAAAAAAGGAAGGTAAAAATACCAGGACACCATTTATCAGTGGCCCAAAACAGTGGAAAAAGGAGTAAAAAACTTGAAAGTTTGAATAATGCATATGGATTTATTTCAAGTACCTTCTAATATTTACAAAATTACATGACACTTTGTTTCCTTTGTGCATTTTTTTTCCCCACAAGACGAGACAGGGAGGCAAGTTTAGATTAAATAAACAACAATGAATTCTTCTGAACTCGTGCAAAAGACAGATCACCCCCTGACTACCACAGAGTTTTTTGGTAAAAAAAAACCCAACAATTCTGCTAGAGTTTTCAAGGAAATAAAAATCAAGCACATACTCTATAGAAACCTCAGACAATTTTTGATGTCATTAAAACGGAACACGCTTCTAACTTTATTTTAATAATTCATTGTTTCATAAATAAAAACCAAACAAATGTTCAGCAGAGAGATCTCTTTAAGGGAAGAAATAACAATTTATTATTTCTTTTGTAAAAAAAGGTCTCTCTGCTGAACACACGTTTGTTTTTTATTTATGAAACAACGTATGAATTATTAAAATAAATCTGGAATTGTGTTCTGCTTAATGACATGAAAAATTATTTGAGGTCGCATATAGATGAGCTTAGCAGTGCTTCACTACCTGCAAGCTTTGGTGCTATATTTTTCTAAGCAAATCAAGAGTTTGAGAGCATTTAACAACCATTTAATTCTGAGATAAGTTGATTGTGATTTAAGCACAGTAGTATATTCAACATGTCACCAGCTTGAAAGAAGCCCTCATGCTGGAGGTAACGATACATAATAGAGATCTAAAAAAAAAAACACAACCCAGTTCAGATTGATTTATGGAGTTGGCAGGCTGCAAGCCATTTTGCACTGGCTGCCTTAGCTTTCTTCCTTTGCATGAGCTGAGGTATAAGCACCTCCAAACAATGGTATCTGTGCCAAGTGCTGAGGCCATGTTACTAGCCGTGCTATGTGCCATTTCCAGAGTTGCAGCCTGGCTAGCCATACAGCAGTTCCTTCCTTGTGTGCTATATTTGGAAATGAGGTTTCTGCTCCAGGGCCTCATCCTTTGTAAAGCACTTAAGTGCATGCTTAAATGCTCATCTGCTCCAAGTCAGGAATGCTGATTTGCTGCAATTCTTGGTGGCACTGAGGGAAGCAATGCTCAACCAAGGTCATCCCCCATTTCAGCTGCAAGAATCCCAGGGCACAAGAGGGGCTGGGCGAGAAGACAGGGTTTTTCACAACTTGTGTCACCCTCTCTACCATGAGGTGGCACTCAGTGATGCAGAGCTGCTCCCATGGGCAATACTGACCCCAAAGAGGTTGCACACGTGGCCTGGGGACACAGGAATTTAGTTCAGCGTAGTGATTTGTATTTAATGTAAAGCTGCTTCCCAGCTTCCTCATAGATGTTGAGAGGAGTCTGCAGGTGACCCACATGTCCCACAAATCACTAGCACAAGAGAGCAAAAGACTGTAAGGGGTGAAAGTGTTACATAGTGGAAGGAAATAATACATTTTGAGAAGGGAGGAGACATGGAGAGCTTCACTGCCCAAATTAACTTTACACATTGTCACAAAAGTTACCCTCTTGCTTGGATATTGCTAACATTCAGGCCACAGGTTTTCTTGTCCCAGAGGTAGACCACTTTCTCTCTGGGCAAAGCAGATCAGAGAAAGGTTTCTCTACATTTGCAACATATCACCAAATATCTTGTTTCCCAGTCTTTTTCTGAGTACTTCATATTGGTCTGTCTCTGCATCTATTTCTATCTGTGGGATAGACTAGGATGGTTTTGAGAACAAGATACCTCCTAGGCTTTTTCTGTTGGTGACTTCAGGAGTTGTCAATTCAGCTCTATAAGTATTGCCTGGCCTTGCTTACGGATGGTCAGTTTTCAGGGCAAAGGGTAAATTCTCCCTCTGTTATTTCTCTTTCTTCTTTGCACTAAGACATAGGTTATATATATGCTAGTCGTTCCTTCGTATGACTGAGTTTGTGAACAGCCATTCTTTTCATACAGGCGGTAAGGAATCATAACATGGTACCCATGCAAAGTATTAAAACCTCGAAAGATAAGTTTGACTTTCATCATTGATGCCATAGCTGGTGGTACACAGAGTCTTGTGCTGAGGGAGGTATTACTAATGTCAAAGAATTGTGGCCATTAATTTATCCATTAATTGACATATGAGACTTGGGTCTATAAATATTATACTCCATCTTTAATAAGAAAGAAACACTGGAGTACCACTGAGCTTGTGAGCTGGTGCCAGTCATTTTACATCTCTGTCTCCATTACCTCAGGTGAACGTATCTTTACAATGAAAAATCTATTACACTTTTGTGGTGGTCATACTAAAAGCTAATGTTAACATTTGGAAAAAAGCATGCTGGTTTTTGCCAGCAGCACCTTCGAACTCATCAGAGGCCCACGGACACTTACAAGTGGAGAATTTTTTCCACCAGTGACTTACAATGCTGAGAGTTTATCAGGAAACAGGAATGTCACTGCCATTCACCATGAGTAAAGGGAAAGTATTTCTTGTATCTAAATTCATTTGGACTTTTTTGTTCCAAAGAGTGTTTATCATAATTGAATGTTCATTTTGATTTGTTGTTTGTTCCTATTAACTGTGGAAAAAATTCTACTAAGCCCAGCAGCACATCTTGAGAGATGTTCTGTAGGTGCAAAAAACAAAGATTTTGGGTAGCCAAATTAAAAAAAAAAAAAGAAAAGGATTTTTCCATGATCCTGAAAATGTCTTCATAGATGATATGTGGAAAACAGAGCTGTTCTGGTTCAGCTTGAAGTCATATTCTCTTTAGAGTTGCCTCGCATGAAAACTCAGAGTAATATCCATCTACGTTTCCTAGGCTGTGATTGTTACTGTCTGCAGATTTCTTTGAGGGCCTGAGGTGGAAGGCACCATGCAGCTGTGATGCACTGTTGTAAAGCTGTGATTCTGACAGGAGAATGCTAATCTGAAATGTGACTCTGGAATTGCTGTTGCTGCTGCTCCTTCCTTCTCCTCCTCAGTGAAATACACAGAAATCAGATGCTTCTCTTTCTTTTTTTCCCCATCTCCCATGCTCTCAGTTCCACTGAGGTAGAAAATAACCTAAACTGCTTCTGAAATTGTATTTTCCAAGGGATTTCCTAGTGCATCAGGCTGGCATGCATCAAATGAGTAGAAACAGAAATCTGTCCCTTGTCTGGAACAGCACAGTGAGCACGTATTTTCTGCAAATTAATCCTGACTGAGGATGGATGTCCCTATATTTTCTCCAGCCCCACCCTCCCCCACAACCCCCAAAATAGCTATAGTAATATGTACTTTTTTTTTTTTTTTTGACTAACTTTCTGAGTCAACTGGGAACACTTGATGACATCCAGTTGCTGACCTTGGCCCATAGTGAGCCTTTTACATGTGAAGCTATGAATTTATGTCTCTGCTTTGCCACAAAGCTAATCCCTAGTAAGCACACTTCAGACGCTACAGTATGGAAAATCTCTCTCCTAATGATGACATTTGGAAAACCTGTTTTTTTTCTCTTTAATTGCAGGTAGCTGCATTCACCGTGGACTGCTGAATGTTAGCCAGCCCTATATTGTAAAGCTGAACTGGAGAGGATTTTCCTACAAATATGGTTCCTGGGGTAGAGATTACTCTCCCTCTGACCCAGAGAATGAAGTCTATTGGGTTGCACCATTGAACACAAATGGGAGATACTTGGAATATTACAGAATTTATAACTCCTTTGATAATTTGCTGCTCTTTGAACCCACATATGAAAGTAGAATAACATATGGGGAAGGAAGCGGTGCTGCCCTTTATAATAATTTTTTGTACTATCACGCTTATAGTTCAAGAGATATGGTGAAACATAATATAAAAACAAACACCATGGTTTTGAGGAAGCAGCTTCCAAATGCTGCTATCGGTAACCGCTTCTCTTATGCAGGTGTATCATGGCAAGACATAGATTTTGCTGTGGATGAAAGTGGGTTATGGGTAATATATTCAACAGAAAATAGCATGGGCAACATTGTGATTAGCAAACTCAATGAGACCACACTTGATGTGCTAAATACTTGGCAGACAAGACAGTACAAGCCATCTGTTTCCAACGCTTTCATGTTATGTGGTGTTCTGTATGCCACAAGGCCACTGAACACTAGGAAAGAGGAAATCTTCTACATGTATGACACGAGTACTGGCCAAGAATCTAGAATTAGTGTCGTTATGGATAAAAAATTAGATACAATCCAGAGTATCAATTATAACCCCACAGATCAGAGATTGTATGTTTACAATGATGGTTACCTTCTAAGATATGATGTGACTTTTCAGGCTTAGTATCTCAGTGGCTTAAGCATGCAATAAAACTGACAGCAACTAAAATGAGAAAGCCGATATACCTTTAGACAATGCTATTGCCAGTTCAGGGTTTGTCTGGTCTAATGTGGTGTACCTATGGGTGCTATATGTATTACTTATAACCTTCCGAGGAATTGCCCACTCTGGTAAGCAGTATTGCTGGTAGCGGGGTTTGGCACTACTGGGTTCTTTAGATTTTGATTGGTGTTTATTAGTGTTCAGTGCTTTGCAATTGTCCTGCCTCTAAGGGTAGATTTACTGCATAGATTTAGCACATTTTGTTCACAGAAATTGATGGTCACAGACTATCTACTGACTAAGAAGCTAATTATCCACTGATGTGCATTTGTCAGTGTAACATAGGCAAGTCACCCAGAAACTGAGAATGAATTTCCATTGATCTTCATCACAGTGAATTAAGACCTTAGAAAATAATCAAAGGATTGAAATAGTAGAGGAAGTAGACTTGGTCGAAGGACAGCAACACATTTGTTAGGTGGAAGCAGCAGTATCTGGCTCAAGGCTTCAGGAGAAAGGGTAGAAATGTACTTTGCTGTTTGGATTCCTACCATAGGGAGGGAAGAGAAGGCATGGAGGCAGGGACAGAGCTCTCTGCCCTCGCCATTGCTGATGCAGTGGAACAGCTGCCCCCTGGGGCCTTGCCTGTAGCTGCCTCACTTCAGCTCAGCCATCCCCCAAGCTGCCATAGAATCAGGCTGGCTTCCTGGAGTGACTGGGGGGGGGGCAAAACTGGCAGCAGGGCTTTCATCAACTTCTTCTCTCTCTTACCCTGCTGCCCTTAGAAGCTCCCTGTGCCTAGACCTGGCCTTGTGAATGGTCTTACTGCAATCTAGCCATGTTTTGTGGTCACAATGGCTCTATTTTCCTGGCAGTACCCTGTTTTCCTCTCCTTTATGCTCTTGTAAACTGATGCAAATCCTCCCATTGACTTTATTGGCCATGAGTAGCTCTTAAGTGCATATCATGCATTGCTATAGAATGACAGCTGTGTTATTTAATGTGCCTCTATTCAGCATTTTTGCCATTCTGTAATTAGCTTCCTGAGAGCCTTGTTAGGGTAGGTCCAATTTGTTCCCTGGGTAATTCTGTCTCACAGCAAGGTAAGAGGTCTTGTGGAAAACAGAAGTCTGGTAAAACTAGTTGGATATATGATGTGTTTCTTTTTGTTTTGATGGGTATTGTGTAATAGTTTCTGAGTGTGTGCACTGTAACAATGTTTTACCTTCATCATGAAAGCAGGCTGAAATACTGAAATTCTCTGCAGCGACGAAGAAAGTTCATGTGGTTCATTTTCTTCTGTTACCTGTGCAATCATATCTGTGTCCTCTGATAATCAAAATCAATAGGTATGAAAATTACTGCTTTTGTTTTAATAAAAATAAATATTTCAAAGAATCTCAGCTGTGCTATAGAGCCACATAAAGCTGCTTGTGACAAATGGGTAACTTTTGGAATGCAAAGGGAAGCCAGGGAACCAAATGTTTGAAGCAGGATCATTGCACTGACTTCGGGCTCTGTGTGCTTAAACACCTCTGGGAACAACGCAAGGTGTGAATCAGTATGTCAGCAAGTACCTAAGAGGAACTTTATTTCCCCACACAGAAGTATGCCAGCTGGTTAGGGTAACATTTCTCCACCAAGCTGAGATGTTACTTGAGATATCAGAGGCTGCTGAACTGATGACAGGTTTTGAAGTCAGGTGCTGCCACTTATCAGGTGTCAGCATCTGTTTCTTGGAAACCTGTGAAATGAATTTGAAAGCCATGGAGGCATTGGTGCAGTAATCTGATCAGTCAGCACAAGCAGGGCTGATGTGTGAATATTCCGTAACAGCCCAAGCAAGGATTTGGCTGAAAAAGGAAGAATAAAATAACTGCAAAAATTTTTTCCTTCTACATCTGTGTGTGTGTGTCATGGAAAGTGAGCAGCTCTTCACTTATTGTCAAGAAATGCTGTCAGCATGAGCCCTGAGGCTCCTCAGCTCACCACCATTTGGGGAGGGAGTTGATGTTAGCACGTGTGTGACCAATTCTGGTGAATTGACTGTGATTCTCAAGTCCTTCCTGGGGACGGGTCCTTGTGGTCTAGCCTTCTCCCCTTTGGAAAGAGCAGTTGGGCCTGGACTGGAGTCTTCCACAGTGGCGATGGAGGCAGGGATGCTGTGGCTGTTCCATGCTTGGTTGCGGTGTGACCTGTCACTGGGCTCCAGCTGGACCTCACTGAGGTGGCCCAGAGGTGGGAAGACAGCGGCAGTGGCCGCCTCTTCAGGGACCACACAATGTCACTTCAGAGAAGATAAAACACAGTTGGGTTAGACCTTGGCAGCTCAATACCAGAAGGAAAGCAGAAACATCCCTGCCCTTGTAAATCCTTAAAATCTCTTGTGTGGAGGGGGTGGGTCAGGATCTTTCAGTCTCGGCAAGACTGAGCTTGTCCTTTGATTTTTGTCCTGTGCTGATATTTCTCATGCAGCTGGTGCCAGGGTGCAGCAGAGGCTCCCCTGGGGTCTATCAGGGCAGGGCCTGGCAGCCAGGGCCCATCCCACCGCCCCAGCCAGGAGTGAGGCAGCCGGGGGGCACTGGGGCGGCCCTGGCTCTGGGCATCGAGCACCTCCCTGGGGACGGGGACAGGCTGAGGCTGGGCTGGGACATGGGCCCATGGGTGGGCCTGGCTCAGCAGTACCCATGGCTGGGCAGAGCTGTGAGGAGCTGGAGACCAGTCCTGCTGTGGCATCATTGGGGCAGGGGCTGGCGGCCCTGGGGGGCTGACATGGGGCTCTGGGCAGGGTTGGGGGGAGCCCTGGGGAGTGGGCAGAGTGGGCAGTGAGGCCTGTGAGTGTCCCTGGGGCCTTGGCAGTTGTGGGCAGTTCTGTGAATAAGAGGCTCTACAGAGCCGTAGGAAGATCCTTTTAAAAACAGAAAAATAAAGGCAGCAAATGACTATATTCCAGCTCTTGGCCTATTGATTTGGCATCTCCCCGTGGAGGTTTTAGGGGTATATAAACAATATTGAGCATAAATAGCACCTGCCAGAGAGCTTGAAGGAGAGGACATCTGTCTGCACGGTGACACAGGGAACTGCAGTACAGGGACTTTGATGTAATTTCGTTGATGAGTGGTTTTCACGCTGCCTACCTTGAGGCACCTAAGGTGGGAGATTTGGCTCTGATCCGTGCAAAGATTGTGCATGGGGAAAGAGGGACCTTCTGCAATGAAGCACTTCAAGAGGGAGTAATACATCTTTTCACTTCTTCCAGTAGACTTGTCCTTTTGGGCCTTGTATGACGGTGGTTCGGTAGTGCTGGCTGTTAAAGTGTGTTCTTGAGCTGGCCATTGCACACTACTTTGGGCAGGCTTCACTCCCTGTCCTTGTTGCTTCCTCTCCTGTAGTTGTGCTACCTCTGCTTTGTTTTGGAGGGTGCTTCCTCCTCTCCTTCCTCCTTGGTCATGGAGAAATTCTCACTCCCATGCTTCCCTGCACTGGACCATTTCTTAGGCAGCATGCAGTGACACAAGTTTCATCCTGACCCTTTTCACCCAGGCTTTCCTGACATCCACTGACCTTGTTCCCCCCTGGTCTGTTCAAAGTGAAGTGACAAATTCATCCTCTTTTGCCTTTTGCAGTTCTCCTTGGTCCCACCCTTTCTTTAACAAGTTAGATACAAGCTCTTTATTCTTTGGTCCAGGACTTTCACATCCTTCCCTCTCAGCAGCCCTGTTACCTGAGCCTCCCTGCTTTGCTGCCCAAGTGATGCCAGCCTCCCTCATCCCCCTGTTCCCTTGTCACACACCCTTCCCTTTATCCCACACTGACACTTTTCTCTGGGATGCCCTCTCCAAACAGATCTATCAGCTTCCTAGGGCTCCTCCAAATTTCTCATGAATTTCTCTCTGAAGCTCCTGATAAATTGCCAGCTGACTACAGCTAACTTGTTGCCTTCAGTAGGAGACCGGTGTTTATTTGCATCATGTATTCAATTAGCTGGCACATGAGAGCATAAAGCTGGCACATACCAACTCTCTTATTATTCATTCCCGTATGTCGCTCCCTCAGTCTCTGTTATATTCACTTGTTGTATCTTGTCTTAAATGGAGATTGTATGTTCCTCAAGGAACATCATACAACATAACCTGTCTTTTAGTTTGGGGTAGTACAGCGCCTAGCACAACAGGCTGCTATCTTCCTCCTCTCCTAGGTACTTCTGAGCAACAAACAATAAAGAGCAGCAAGAGCTGGCCAGGGATTGTTGCATGCATCTGTGTTTTTGTCTGAATTTTCATGCATGCTGCTACGTGTGCTGCATATAAATTGGCTTTGAAAAGTAGGCAAACAATATGCTTCCAGACAACTGTGTAAACATTCTGTTAGAAACTGTTTCAGTAGCTATGTGCACATAATGTAGCTACAATACATCCCTAAATTTGTACCATGTGGGGTAAGATCACTCTTCCTCCTGTAAATATTTGATTTCTTTCCTTTCTTTCTTTGCATTTTTGTGACTGCACAACAGTTGCTCCCTGAAAGCCAGGGACTGATGGCACAACTGTGCACCACACACAGAGCCTGAAGCCATGGTCTTTTTCATAGTGCCAAACACGCTGTGATTTTGCAGGACTAGGAGTTCTCCTTCTAATAGAACAAAATGCTCACCTTGTATCTGAGCTGGGTTTGGAGAGATGAGAATTAAGGAATCACAACGTTATGGTTTGTAAAAGTAAACACGTATGAGGGCGAGTGTGTGTGTCTAGCAGGAATCCTGTCTTCCCCTCTGCTTGCTGAGTTGCTGCCAGTTTGCAAGCTGTTAGCCACGTACAGGGAAGCAAATGAAGTGAGGGAAGCTACATGGACAACCGTTCTTGCAAGTCTTCAGGGAATGACTCCTGCCACTAGCCTACATTCTCTGGGTCAGTTGGGCTGTACTTGGCCTTGGGCCATGGATGAGGGCAAATCTGGCTTTA